TAAAAGAAAAGTTGGACAAAAAGAAACAAAAAGTAAAAGAATTTTACTGGCAACAGTCAAGAAAGCTAATTATAGTGAGCTCATAAAAATATATTTTGAAAGCACCGCTCACTTGTACTGCTTTTTGAGTTGATTATTATACCCTGAACCCATTAAAAATGGGTATGGGTAAATGGTAAATGGGTAAAATCCAAATGTATGTAACAGGTAGAAGGAAGCATCTCCGACCCCATAAAGTATAAATATTCTTGATCAGCATCAATAGCCGAGTCGATCTAGCCATGTCCGTCTGTCTGTCCGTCCGTCCGTCCGTCCGTATGTATGAACGCAAGGATCTCAGAACCTATAAGACCTAGAGACTAGAAACTTTAGATGTAGGTGCTCCTAGTGCCTGCGCAGATCGAGCTTGTTTCCGATAATCGATAACTTACTCAGTTTCCAAGCAATCGATAAAAAATCGATATCGATATCCTGTTTTTAGGCAATTTTGGTAAATAATAAGAGCTAGAGTCACCAAACTTGACATATAGCTTCTAATATAGAAGCTTCCTTGCAATTTGGATATATCTCCAATGTTGTCCTTATAGCCTTCTCCAAGCGACTGTCCAATTACCCCTATTTCAACCCCTGTAGAGGTCCCAGTAGAGCCCGTACCTGATCGCGTCCCAGTTAATTAAACTGCCTCAGCCCCGTCAGCTCCTGGCCGCAAAGGTAGACCTGCGTGCAATCTCGCCCAAATTGTTCAAAACAATCATTGTGTCTCTTTAGCTCCTCCAACTCCTGTATTACCTGCAACCCCATCAGCGCCTACTTTAACGGTTGTTGCCCCTCGTAGCAAGTTTTATGTGTCTCGACTTTCGTCCGAAACCACTTCTGAGTCATTGGCTGCCTATATTGCTAGCAAATCTTCTGCTAGCGTGTCAATAACCAAATTTAATTTCTCCACCCCTCGTGAAATATCATCATTCAAAATAAATGTTTCACATGATATGTTCCCAATCATTTGTGATCCCAAATTTTGGCCTCCACACATGATTGTTCACGAGTTCAAGCCTTTAAAGCGTAACCAGCCTGTCACCCTTCCAGTCCCTTCAATACAGGGTACCATTTCTGCCCTAAAAAGCTAGCTTCATCTTCTGACCAAATCTTTATTCATTATCAGAATGTCAGAGGTCTCATTTCAAAGCTTAAAAATCTTTTCATGGCCAGCACTTCCTTCAATTCGGATATAATAGCATTTTCAGAAACATGGTTGAACTCAACCATATCTGATTTTGAGATTTTATCAAATAACTTTATTTTGTATAGAAATGATCGGCCGACTCGGGTGTTAATTGCCGTTAAAGCCGATCTCCAGTCTGAACTTTTCTGTTTTAGTACGCCTACTGACGCTGAGATTGTCTCAGTTAAGGTGTCTTTTTCTACACGAAATGTCTATGTAACATGCTCTTATGTCCCACCTTCTTCTGATATTCAAGTTTATATGAAACATATTACTTGTATTAAAGAAGTTTCTTCAGACGTGCGTGATAATGACCTATTTATGATGTTGGGTGATTTTAATTTGCCCAACATCTCTTGGTCATTATTTACTGCCAAAAATTATCTAGTACCCTCAGCACAGCACGATTTTATAGATTGCATGCTTGATCTTTCGTTGTTTCAAATCAATTCAATTTCTAATCATTTGATTAGGACACTTGACCTTAGATTTGTTAACGACTACCTTATTTCCAATGTGTCTAGGTCCCCTCCTTTATCTCTTCCTGAGGATGTCTATCATCCTACTTTAGAGATTGCAATGCTCAATTATAATCCTTTCATTTCGTGCTCATCAGCCAATAAGCCCCGATGTTGCTTTCGCAAAGGAAATTATTCTTTGCTGAATCAGCTTATTTATGCAACCGATTGGTCTTTCTTATATGACTCGGTTGATATGAATACTGCCATTAATTTTTTTTATAACACCCTAAGCTCCTTCTTAGATGTGTGTATTCCTAAGTCAATTCCTTCGACTACTTTTTCCAAACCACCCTGGTTTACTCCCAGATTATCATATCTAAAAAATGTAAAATCTGAATATTTTAAAAAGTTTAAAAAGTCTGGTTCGTGTCCGGACTTGGCTAAATATTCCATAGACAAGTCGAACCTTTCTTCTTAATTCTCAATGCTATCTAACTCGTTGTAAAAGGCAATTTGCCCGAAATCCGAGACAGTTTTATAATTTTGTAAACTTGAAGCGTAAATCTTCAAGTTTGCCATCTTCTTTTTTTCTTGGCTTGGATAAAGCTAGCAATGACACTGATTCTGCTAACCTCTTTGCTAATTTTTTCCAATCAACTTACTCTTCAGTCTGTCCTTATACTAATGCTTACCCTTATACTATTTCTTCCGCAAGTTATATACCTCCTCTAATTATTTCACACTCCTCTCTCCTATTAGCTATAAACTCTTTAAAGTCTTCTTACTCTCCTGGGCCGGACAATATTCCTAGTTGTCTACTCAAGGAGTGTAGTTCTTCCCTTCTTTATCCATTGCTAAAGTTTTTTAATCTATCCCTTGAAACTTCTGTCTTTCCATTTGGAAAGAATCTTATATCATTCCTCTTCACCAGAAAGGTGGGAAGTCTGATATACGAAATTACAGGGGCATTGCAAAACTGTCCGCTATTCCTAAATTATTTGAAAAAATAATCACTTCGAATTGGCAGCATTTCTGCAAATCAGTTGTTTCCCCTGTTCAACATGGATTCGTAAAGAATCGGTCAACTACGACTAATCTGCTTGAGTTTACTTCCTTGGTAAACGATGCTTTCCTTTCGGAAATGCAAACTGATGTCATTTACACTGACTTCAGTAAGGCGTTTGACTCTGTGCACCATGAGATTTTACTTTTTAAACTTGACCGAATAGGTTTCGCCCTATCTCTTTTGCTTTGGATTAATTCTTATTTAAAAGGTAGGACCCAAAGAGTAATGCTGAGGCTGACTACCTCTAAACGGGTTCACGTTACTTCTGGTGTTCCTCAAGGTAGTCATCTTGGACCTTTACTCTTTACACTTTTTATAAATGATCTCCCCTCTGTTATATCAAATGCCCGTGTATACTGCTCTTGCATCTGGTCTCCACAGTATAACAATAGCCAGGATCGTATTGAATCTGTTCAGAAGCATTTTCTGCATTTTGCCTACGAGGTTTAAATTGGGACCCTAATCTTCGGTTGCCATCCTACTCCAGTAGACTGCTTCTTCTCAACCGTCCGCCTTTAACCAACCGTAGAACAATTCCCCGTGTTGTTCTACATAAGTTGATTATTGGCGACATAGATTCCCCTCTTCTGCTAGGGCATCTTCAATTCTCTGTATTTTCTTTATTAATATAGCAAATTAAGATTATTTTTAATTTTACTTGAGAACACTTTTTTCCTACTTACCTTCTGCTTAGATGTAGGCTTTAATAGCGTCACTGACAAAATTAGCTGTGAAAAGGGGCACAGCTGGCCGGACTGGCAAATAAAACACCTCCCTCGGTCGGTGATGCTATTTAGAAAATTGTATTCTTTAACTAGGCTTTTAGCGTATAATTCTATAATCTATTGTATAACCTATGGAATAATGAGGAAGACACTCGGTTTGTCGACCATAAATAAATAAAAAATAAAATAAAAAAAAAAACAAAAAAAAAAAAATCAAATAAATATACACACATTTGATGTTGGAAGAAGAGGGTTCAGGATATCCCCTAGTCGGGAGCTCCCGACTAGAACCGCTTACTTGTTCTGATTAAGAATGATGAATATGAAGAATATATTTCATAAAATAAAAATAAAAATAAAAATGTAAAATTCGGTAGGCAAATTTGTAAACAAAATAATTTTATATGAAAAATAACCTTAACCAGTGTATTTAGGTGTTACTTAGATTTGAATACCCTATACCCATTAAAAATAAGTTAAAATGGGCATCAAAAGCCAAGTCGACCAGTCGGAGTGTATTAACGCAAAGATCTCACAACTTGCAAGAGCAAGACTTAAAATTTTATTCGACCAATTGCCCAGATGAGATTATATATCCTGTTTTTTGCTAGAGCTAGAGCCGCCAAACTTAACATGTAGCTTCTTGAATAGGATCACTAACCCTACAACTTAAAGCTAAGACATGCAGTACAATTGCATATGCCCTGTCGACCTTACAAACAACATGTATTTCTTACTCTCTTGAAAGAATATATGTATACACACATACACATTCATGCGCGTCTTCATAAATTCTATCGACAGCATTGCAATTGCGATTGCTACCGCTAGCTGTATTATGTGTTAGTAGATGAGGGTTCAGGGTATCCCCTAGTCGGGAACTGTTGACTAGAGCCTTCCAGTCAATGGCGTGCAAGCGTTGTTTGTTTGAAATATGTCTGTCTGAGAACTTCAAAATGTGTACGTATGCACTGTAATTAACTGCATTAAGTTTGGTTGCCGGAAAAACTATTTGTGTTAGTTGCTTGCGCCTACCATGACGGATCCCAAAGTTTTATTTAAATATGTTATGTAGTGAGGTTAGGTTGGTAGAAAATAAGTATCTTTTACTCAAATCATTAAGTTAAGAGAATGGAATGCGCGTCTTTGTTCTAAATTTTTTTAAATCAAGTTGCTTATTAACAATTTATTTTTGTATGTGACTCATCTTTGTATTTATATTGTCCTGTGATATTTTATAAATGCTACATTTATTTGTTGCATACTGTGATTGTCTTCTCAAATAACCGATGCCTTAATCCCCTTATAACAAAAAAAAAAAAAAAAAAAAAAAAAAAAAAACATAGGGAATAACAAAAGCTACCTGCGGACATATGTGTTTCCAAAGGTGAGCATGAAAACTAACTGCATAAGCTTGTGTCTCTACATACACCCTCAATTGCAATTGTATTTTATTACTGATGGTTCCTTAGCTTTACCCATAATGGCACAAACATTAATATCTCCCTATCTCTTCGTTATTTCAGATCCAATAATCAAACCAACAATCGATCAATTAAATATTATTGACTCCAAACCGCATTTTCAAGAAGCTGAAGAAAGTAAAATTGGAATAAAGCCGACACCACTTAAAGTCCTAAATTCTAATGGACAATCAACAACTAATTTTACATTAGAGACAAACAATCGTTTCAGTTTATTGAGTACACCTATAAAATCTTTGGATTTCCCAGAATACGCTTTACTTTCTCGGCAGCCAGACGAGTTCATAGAAGAAACATACCGTTTGGTTAACCTAAATACTCGTGCTGAGGCCGAGAGACTTAGGACCGATCAGTCAAAGCGAAATAATAATTATAACAGTTCTGCAGGATTGCTCGCAAGGAAAAAGGAAATATCAACCAGAAATGTCAAATCTTCATTAAATGAAAATGGCTTGAGCACGAAAATTTCTAGCAAATCTACTCAAGGACATCAAATAATTACTAATATTGAAAGGAGGAGCAAAACTCGTCAACCATCTTCAGCCCGAGTTTTAAAAACTGTTGCCCCATCATTGCAAAATAATAAAACTCCTATAGAGTCAAGTGGATATACAAAAAGTCATCGTAAAAATAGTCGGGTTCCTAGCGAAAAAAGAAAATTGTCTCGGCATAAAGGAAAGAGGTAATGCTATGTATCAATTAAATTTTTATAGTTCACAAAATTGTGATGTTTTTGAACAATATGATCCCAAGAGTTGAAACTTAAACATTTAAAAAATAAATGTGGTGTATTTTAAAGGGATGTATACGTAAATGAATTGCTTTGAAAATTCGTATAACCACAATATTAGTAGACAACATCAAATACTAGTAAACTTGTGTGGCAATGACAACGTTTTGTTGCCTTAGAACCGGATGATACATTCAAATAATTTGATCAAGTTGAAAATTACACAGGTTGACTTCAGCTATTTTAAGAACCTCCCCCAAAGCCTTGTCCTCAGTCAATAGCTTGAGAACACCAGAAACCTTCTTATCTACTCATCTCTGCGACGTAATGTGCGATAACTCTTTATCAACAAAACAGTATAACATAGGACTCTTTTTATATAAGTAGATACTGTATCAGAATTTACCTATTTTGAGTTTATTAAAATGTATTTATTTTTATTACTATCTGATACGCTGTTACTGTTGTTTAGCAACTTTACGGAACGGGGGCTCATAGTAGTATGGTAAGCTTTTTGAACAGGCGTGCCCACAAATAGTTAAGATTCATTTTCAATAGACGATCTACGTTTAAGAAATATGTCACCGAGATAGTCAACAAAATTAAAGGCAAAACCAGGGGGATTAGCTGGCTGCTCAACTCCAACAACAAACTTTCGCTCCGAAACAACGTCTCCATCCATAAGGTAATTATACCCTGAACCCATAAAAAATGGGTTTAAGGGTATATTGTATTTGTGCAAAATCCAAATGTATGTAACAGGCAGAAGGAAGCATCTCCAACCCCATAAAGTATATATGTTCTTGATCAGCATCAATAGCCGAGTCGATCAAGCCATGTCCGTCTGTCTGTCTGTCCGTTCCTCCGACCGTCCGTCCGTATGTATGAACGCAAGGATCTCAGAACCTATAAGAGCTAGAGACTTGAAATTAGGTGTTCCTAGTACCCGCGCAGATCGAGTTTGTTTCCGATAATCGATAACTTACTCCGTTTCCAAGCAATCGATAAAAATCGATATCGACATCCTTTTATTTTTTTTAGCAAATTGAGTAAATAATAAGGTTAGAATATTATAGATATTTCAAGTATTTTTCATTTCATATCTATCGTCACCTCCCCGCTACCACCCCAGAGCTATAAATCAATTTAATAACCTAACTTTTATTGCCAACCAATTTAAACCACAATTTAAATGCAATTGACTTTTTCAGAATTCACAAATATTCTATGGTACAATAAGATATACTGTAGAAAATTTCATAAAGATCGGTTAAGAAAAACCAAAGTTATATGCAACTGCGCAATTGAATGGTGCAGCAGCTTTAAGAATTTCTGTATACATGTACACACACATTGATGCGCGTCTGCTTCGCATTCTAATAGCATGGTAATTGCATCCTTTTTTTGTAATGTTATTTTAGTTCCTTTTTTTATCATAAGTACTTAATTGTTGGTGTGGCTGCTGAGTAGAGGCATAGCAAGTGGTGCGGTCTGTCGCGAGTTCGAGCCCTTTGTTTTTTGCTGGTTTGTTGAGTAGAGTCGACAGCAAGTAATGCGGTCAGTTGCGAGTTCGAGTCCTGCCAAGGGAACTTTTTTTTTTTAATTTATTTGGTGTTGGAATAAGAGGGTTCAGGGTATCCTCTAGTCGGGAGCTCCCGAATAGAACCTCTTACTTGTTGAATTTGGTTTTGTAGTGTGATATCTTTCTGCCTCTGTTTGTTTCCTCAAAACGTTTGTCGTCGATTTGTCTTAGTTCTCCTGTTTTCTTGAACGGGGTTGTAGTCGTTGATTTAACTAATGGTGAATGTTTGTATCTAGTGTCAATTTCATAATTTGTTCGTTTTTTGTTGAGGTTATTTATTAGTTTTTCTTTATTAGCTTGAGTGTCATACTCTGGTGTACCTGCGTATATGAATATGTCCGCTGGTGTTCTGTTAGTCGTTTTGTGCTTTGTTTTATGATTGTACGTGTAGAGTATAGTTTCAAATTTTGTAAGTTTATTTTCGACGTCTGACTCGCTGTTAATGATTCTTAATTTTTCGTTAACTGTCTTATGAAATCGTTCTACGTCGGATATGCCATTTTTATACCCTGAACCCATTAAAAATGGGTATAGGGGTATATTGTATTTGTGCGAAATCCAAATGTATGAAACAGGCAGAAGGAAGCGTCTCCAACCCCATAAAGCATATATGTTCTTGATCAGCATCAATAGTCGAGTCGATCAAGCCATGTCCGTCTGTCTGTCTGTCTGTCCGTCCGTCCGTCCGACCGACCGTCCGTCCGTCCGTATGTATGAACGCAAGGATCTCAGAACCTATAAGAGCTAGAGACTTGAAATTTTAGATATAGGTGCTCCTAGGGCCTGCGCAGATCGAGTTTGTTTCCGATAATCGATAACTTACTCCGTTTCCAAGCAATCGATAAAAATTTATATCGATATCCGGTTTTTTAGGCAATTGCGGTAAATAATAAAAGCTAGAGTCACCAAACTTGACATATAGCTTCTAAAATAGAATATATATAAGCATTTGATGTTGGAAGAAGGGGGTTCAGGGTATCCCCTAGTCGGGAGCTCCCGACTAGAACCTCTTGCTTGTAACTAGTGGTTATATTAATATTTACTGCTTCTTATTTTAGCCATAATTGTAAAGCTGTGCACATAAAAGCTGAGTCTTTGTCTGCTTTTATTTCGATGGGTTTACCCATTTGGTTGAATACTTGTATTATAGCTCGTTTGGTTTCTAAACAGTCTCTACTTTTTATTTCTATTAATGATGCAAATTTTGAATAGATAGCAATGCAAGATAAAAATTGTTTATCTCCTACTATGTAAAAATCCATAACATATTTTTGTCCGATAATAGCGATTTCCGGAGTTATTTCGAAAGTTAATTTTGTATCCCTGTGTTCTGTTTTTGCCATGTTGCGAATCTCACATTCGTTTATTAGATTTTGATTTAAATTTTGATAATTTGGGAAATTGTGGGTTTCTTTGAACCAATTGATAGTTTTTTCAATTCCTGGATGTAATAATTCTTTGTGTTTTTTTAATATTAGTTCCTTGAATTCTGCGAATGTTTGAAGATCTATTAATTTCTTTCTAGTTTTCATTGCCTTTGTTGAATTATTCGGACTTATTATTTCTAAGTAGGCTTCTTGAAAAATTAGAAAATCTGCTTCGTTGTGGAAGTATAGCACTTTTCTTTGTGCATAGGTATTCTTCTATTAATTCTTTGGCATGCGCGTTAGTCATGTCTTTGTATATAATTTTTATGTTGGTTTTATGAAAGTAATTCGTAACTTTTGTTTCGTTCCTTTTTCAAATTCTATTTGTCGATTATAATAATTAAGGGGTCTTTCTGTGATTTGTAAATGGTTACTGTTGTCTTCTTGAGCACTATGTATGGTTGCTCTTGTGCTAATGGTATCTTCGCCTGGGAAGTTCGTTTAATTGGATTCTGGACAGAGCATCTGTCACATAATTTTCTTTTCCTGGGACGTAATTAATTTGGAAATCAAACTCATTTAACTTGATTTTTCATTGTTGTAATTTCATGTTAGGTTCTTTCATGTTATCTAACCAGACGAGTGGTCTGTGATCACTTAGGATTTGAAATTGCCTACCAAAAAGATAAGAACTAAAGTATTTAGTGGCCTAAACGATTGCTAATAATTCTTTTTCAATCATTGAATAATTTATCTCATGCTCGTTAAGAATTCCACTTGCGTAGCATATAGGCTTATGCTCTTGCGAAAGGACGGCCCTATTGTCATGTTACTCGCGTCAGTAGTTCATGAAAATGGTTTTTCGAAATTAGGGTATATTAAAATTGGGTCGGATGTTATGAGTACTTTTAGCTTTTCAAACGCTAAAGACTACGAAGTCTTTGTCATTTATGTTGATTTTTGCTCCTTTTTTTAATTTAAGTGTTAATGGTTTGCTATATTAGCGAAATTTGGTATAAATTTCCTATAGAAACCGCATATTCCTAGAAATTATTTAATTTCTTTTGGGGTTTTTGGAATTGGGAATTTGACAATTGCTTGTATTTTGTTGATGATGTGACCGAGAAATTCAGTTTCTTTTCTCATAAACTCGCATTTATCCAACTGTAGTTTTAAGTTAGCTTCTCTAAGCTTCTCAAATACTTTTTGTAGCGACAAAATGTGTTCCTCCAATGAAGTGGAAAAATTAATAATGTCGTCTAAGTAGACCAGACAATCCTTAAAAATTAAATCTTCTAAGAGATTGTTCATACAACGTTGGAACCTTGCAGGTGCATTCTTAAGACCAAATGGCATGCGAGTGTACTCGTAATGGCCATGTTTAGTCGAAAATGCGGTCTTGGGTATTCAACCAGGATCCATTTAGATTTGGTTGAAGCCTTTGGCTAGATCAATGGTTGTGAAATATTGACATTTTCCAAGTTTGTCTAATATTTCATCCATGATCGGGATAGGGTATTTATCATTAATAGTTAATTCATTGAGATTGCGGTAATCTATGACTAACCGGAATTATTGCTTTCCAGATGCATCGTTTTTCTTTGGAACGATTATTACTGGTGAGCAGTAAGGGGATTTGGATTTACGTATGATATTTTGTTTTATCATATCGCTTATTTGTTTATTTACTTCCTCATCGTATATTTGAGGATATTTGTATGGACGCTTGTAAATTGGGTCCTCATGTTTTCTTAGAATTTTGTGTTTAATTGTACTAGTGAAAGTCAAATTGTCACCTTCATGGTACTGGATATCACGAAATTCATGTACAACTTTTTTAATTTTTTCTTCTAAGTTTAGGTGCTTTAGCCTAAACTCATTGTTTGCTATTAATTCGTTATTAATAGCGAAGTTAAATGGTCTGTCCTCTGTAGAGGGTGGATCAAGGCACTCTTGTGCGGTCATGTCCTCTTCGACCTCTTCGTCATTATATCTAAAACAAA